GCGTAAGGAGAGTAAGTGTCAAAAGGCAGGCGCTTTCCCAATTTTAAAACAGAGAGGGTGTAACCATGTGTAATGTGAGTCTAGATTTTGATTGTAGGGATGATGAAATCAAATCCCTCTTTAATCCTTACTGGGAAACATTGAGGTGAATTAGCCTGCCTGCTTTTGCTAACTTGTTAAAAATCTTTTGAAAAAGAAATGTGTTTTAGGGTCATCAAAATATCTCCCTACTTTACCCCAGAGTCTAAGAGCACACTGGACCATTATGCAGCGTGGCCTCAATGCAACAAAAAATGAAAGGAAGGGAACAGATAAAACCAAATGTATTGTTTTGCTGGAAGAAATACAGTGCTTTCCTAGATACAGCTCTTTCCAGCGCTGCCATTTTTAAGCTAGATGCTTAGTCATTATTAATGATGGCATATTTCTTTAAAGCTGCTGTATTTTGGGAGTAACTGGAAATGAAACTTGCTTTTCCCCCTGCCCTTAAGGTTAGTTAAAATAATATACAGTTGTCTGTGTGCATTGCAGTCACTGTGCCTGTACCATTTGGAGTATTTTTGGAAAAAGCAAGGAAGTTTAGTCAGTTATTTCATTTATAGCAAAGTATTAGCTTGAACTGGAGAAGAGCTCCCTGTTCACGTCATTCAGCTGTGCTGTGCAGTGGTTGGAGACTCTCAATACTACCGCTACTTTACAAAAATACTTGGCACAAGCTCATGAAATCATAAAGACTTTTTTTTCTCGCCCTCCTGCGAAACCTCCTTAATTTTGTTCCTCAGTAATGTGTCCGTACATCCCCCACTTGTGCACACAAATATCTTTAAGGCTTAATTAATTCATTAAAAATAGCTGAAGTATTTAAGGAGGAGCACCTTATAAATAATAAAGGGGAACATCTTGTTCATTCTTGCCATTGCTCAGATAGAGACAAGCAGCTGGTATGACAGTGGAGTTTTACTGATGTTATTATACTGAATTCCAGGACAGGACCTTTCATCAGTTGGTGTGAAGTACCTGAATGGCTGGAGATTAAGTGGAAAAGCGTATTTTTTTCAGTACGTAAACTAATAAAAGTAAGCTGTTGTGAAATAACAGGAGCAGAAAGTGATGTTTGCAAGATGGAGTAAAATAATTCTCTAGAAATTCTGCCTCCACAAACTCCAGGCTTTTCTCTTGCTGGGGTCCACATTGATCTCACCTAAATTCAGACACTCATTGGATTCAGTCGAAGTGAAAGGTGGCCAGGTTCGTCTTTTGGATATGCCTCTTGGCCTTGCCCGTGTAGGAGACCTTCCCTTAGGCATCTCAGTTAAACTTCAGTGGGATGAGCACTGGCCAAAGAGTCTCACCCAGCAAATCCTCAAATCTCTTTTATTCTTCCACAGTCACTCTGGGAATTTGCCTTTTCAGGTGAGGTCCTTCTCTGTAGGGAGAAGGCCTTGAAACCCTTTCACAGATTTGGGACTCATAGTGCACTTTAAAAAACTCTATTTCCTTGATCGTAAAGCTCACAAAGCCTCAAGTCTATCGCTAGTTGCAATCGTTAAATCAGAAGTATCTGGTGTTACTGGCAGGGAGAGTGCGTGTATCATCAACTTGCTCTTTTTTATAAGTGGTTGATCACTTTTGCTGTGCTTTAGGGCAGCTATGTGAGAAAGCTTTTGAGCTCATTTGTGAATAACAGCAGGGATAAATGGTGTTTCTCTAGCTTGTCAATTATTTGTTCTTTTCTTTCCATCCACTGTTTGAGATCTTGATGAAGGTATTATTTAATTCCTGCATTTCTGAGCCCTTAACCTTGGACAGATACATAATAGGCTCGTATTTAGGCACTACTGGAGTGCTTTAAGCAAGCTGTTTTTCTTTGAAGCTAAGAGTGACTAAGCCTGGGAAGTTCTCTGTTCTTCCTCATCTCCTCCTGGTAGTTAATAGACTTCACGAGGGATCTCAAGACACTCTGATAAGCCTTTGAAGTTATTACCTGCTAAGATTTTGCTCTTTCTGGGTGCTGAACATTGAATTACTGACTACTGTTAGAAGCAATGAGAAAAGATTCACAAAACTGACAGAGCTTTGCCTCTAATTTCTGCAGAAAAAGAGCCGAATTTAATGGATAAATTGTGTTGCTGGGGAGATTTTGATTCTGTTCCCTCCTCTGTCACCGGTTTGCCTTGTGATTTGTGGTAGCATTTTCAGTTATGCCAGTCGCATGAGATCAAAACCCATGAGTCAGACTCCACCCAAATCATGAGCCTGGCTTCCAGATCTAGGAGCTTTGAACAGAGATCATACCGTAGTTTTTCTTTAGTTTATCTTTCATTTCTGGAATTTCCTCTGTCTCTTCCCAATGTGACTCTAGCAATTAATGTTTCCCACTCTTTTGGAAGTGCCAGGAAGATATTTTGACCATTTGGGGCTATTGGAGGCCTTGTTTGACCTACACAATTAATTTTTTGATTTCCAAGTGAATCTTATTTCTTCCAGACTTCACACATCTTTCTCCTGTCCCCAAAGACTTCTGCATCCCTTAGCCTCACACAAACCGTCACTTTTGTTTCTTGCTTGTCATTCAGCTGCTCTGTCCCCTCTTTAGTCCTCTCTGGCCTTGAGAGGGTTTTTCACCGTTGCCTTGTAGGATGGAGAATGTGTAAAAAGATGCAGATCTGGGTATGAGAATATATAATTGGAGAGAGAAGGGAAATGGTCTCTCTGAGTCTCTTGCCTGAAAAAGATGAAATCGTTACTTGCAGCACAAGAAGTGGTTGATGAGGACAGGCAGGAGATTGCCTCCATGTAGGATGGAGACCTGCAGGAGGGCTGGAGCTTTGCATGTTGTTGTGAGACAAGACCCCTTTGCTCACAAGGTACTTGCAGGCCTTGGCAGAACAGGGTTTTATACTCACTTTGAAGGGAGTCAGGTGAAGAGTGAATCACAATCAGTGAATTTATAAGCCAAAGTAAATCCAGAGAAGGTAAGATGAGAATCAGCCCTTCTGTCTGCACTCTTTTGCCCTCTAATTCAGTTACCAATCTGTTTTTCTTCCAATTTTAGGTTTGTAGTATATTGTTTGTAGACTCAGTTAACTAACTCGGTTATGAAGGGTATGATTATGATTGAGACAGTGAAAAAGCCAAGGGGAAATTTGGTGTCGTATCTCTGTTTTCTCCTATTGCATTTGCCTCTTTTCAGGAAAGGTAAGAAGTTAAAAGTTCTTGGCAATGGTTTAACAAGCCAAAGCCAAATCAACAAATGTGATTTTACAGTAATTATTGCATGCAATACAGTGGTGTCTGATCTTCCCGTGGTAACATTGTCGTTGTTTTGCCATGAAATTTGCAGAACAGGCCTAACTATTTAATTAATAAAATTTTGCAGAACTAGGCTACTTACACCTCAGGCAAATAGGAAAGTGCATCTTCTCTTGCTCATCCTGATGCCATACCACTCTTTCAGCCACTTTGTTTGCTGATTGTTGCATAAGCCATGTGCCAGGCATATTGCAGATCCATAATTTCAGGAAAAAGTGCAACCAAACTGTGACCCCATATCCAAATACCTCCAGAGTCTGAATGATTGAAACCAAATCTGAACCCAGAGAAAAACTCTTTACGTAGCCCTAAAGTTTACGACAGGTTGTCTCCAAGCTTTGAATCCACACTCTCTCCATATTTTAGTGGATAGGAAATGTGGAATTTGTTTTTAAACCCAGAATCATCAAAAGCTGCGTTCATGACATGAGAAAGATTCATGATGAGTGCCAGAAAATCTTTCAGCTAAGCATTTTACGTGCAAGGCCTGAATTTGTAGGAGCCGGACACGTCTCAAAATGTTTCTAGTTGTGCTGTGAATGTTTCACAGAACTGCAATAATTAGAAGTGTTTCCTTCATTAAGACAGAAATGCTACCTCACAGCTTGAATATTAATAAGATAAAATTTATGAGAGCAAACACAGTAATATAATATTTTCTCCAAAGGAAAAAAGCATGTATTTGCTTAGCTCTTTCATCAGTCGTTTTTGGACACACACTGTGTGCATAAAATGCAGTTATGCAACCAATGTGGGTCAACAACGGAAGGTTGGTTGCTTCACCAGGATTATAAGAATCTTTTAAACACAATGGTACCACAAATTAAAATGGAAATCTATCAAAACCATTATCGTCCTGAAAGCTTTGGCCACAAGTATAATTATTGTAGAAGGATGTTGTCCTTGGACACAGCTTTGGCTCAGTTCAGCTAGTGTTATTTGTATCCGTCCATGGCTCAAAGTCAGAATTTGCATGGCTAAGGACCATAAATTTTTAGAGGAAAAAATAAACTGTTTCCTCAATGCTAACACTAGCAGTTTTTTATTTTTTTGTAGTGGTTTGTAGGCGACTCATTAGGTACTAGAGATAGGAACAGACTGAATGTGGTGGCTGAAATCTGCCTTGAACTTTGGAAGGATTCGGATGGAGATTTCTGTCTGGATCTAGTTGGTTGTATCTGAGGCTGTTGCTTTACTGGATGAGAACAAGAACAAGTCAATGTCTGGAGTGTGTGTGTTTAAATTTAGGTCTGAAAGTCCACATTTTGGATAGTAAAACAGTGAAGCAGATCTTGAGCTGATATAGGCTGCAGTCCACAGACTTAAATAGAGCAGAAAACCTGTCCTGAGTTTTTTAGCATGTCCACGAAGCAGGCAGTACTGTAGGGATGAGAGTAATTGAAAGAATATACAGTCTCCTGGATGTTGCTTGCCATCAGCAAGGGACACATCTCCCTTGCCTAGAGCTGCCCTCAGGAGAGGCACCAGGTTGCTTTCTCAAGCTCCTGATGAAGGCTGAATCCTGGAGTAACTCCATTTTTGTGTTGATGATAAACTATATTAAATAACAGGCACTGCCAGTTATTTTTAAACTGGTTATTTTTCTTTCAACATACAATTTTCCATCTTGAGGGAGGTAAATGACTAACAAGTCTGAAATCTGTTTTTCCTCTCTTTTCATCCCTCAGGCTGGTATAGATGGAGAAAGCATTGGGAACTGCCCGTTCTCCCAGCGTCTCTTCATGATCCTGTGGCTCAAAGGAGTTGTGTTCAACGTCACCACTGTTGACCTGAAAAGGTAAAAATTGTTCAGTTTAATTGAAAATAGTTATATGATCCAGTGTTTGCCCTATAGAAAGGCCCCACCAAGTTAAATCAGATTTGCATCTAGCCTAGAGAGTCTGTGGTGCACAACAAAATAGTTGGGATTCAGGTTTGGTTTTTTTTTTTTTCACTTGTGGAATGTTTTTATATTAAACAGGGTGCTTGGGGTAGTATCAAAGTCTTCTAACCACAAACTACAGAAAAAAAAAGAAGGGCAAACTGATTTTGTGGGAACTATAAATATCTGTGCAACTACCTGACCATAAAGATTAGTAATTTCATGACTTTTTCCTCTCTCTGCAGAAAGCCAGCTGACCTACACAATCTGGCTCCTGGGACCCACCCACCTTTCTTGACTTTTAATGGAGAAGTCAAGACAGATGTTAACAAGATTGAGGAATTCTTGGAAGAGACTCTTGCACCTCCAAAGTAAGAACTTGGGATTTTTTTCAGTCAATATTCCATTTCCTAGGAATGAAAGATGTCCTAAGAGAAGTTCCTAAAAAGCACTCCCTCCTACAATCTTTACTTACAGGAGTAATATTTATTTATGAAACTTGCTGGCTTCAGTGAGATGACTTCCATGTGTGAAGGTTACTTGTATGACTAATAACTGCAGAATGTTTTCTCTGTACACATTTCAGGATGCCCTTGTATGCAGAATTAAGGAGACCAATACTAGAAAAATTTTGTAGGGGTCTGTTGTCCACATTTTACAAAGCTAAAAATAACTTGGAATATATGCCGAGAATTGCCACACAAAATATCTGTGCCAGGAAAAGCATTTTACAGCGAAAAACTGGAGGTTTCTGAGCTGTATGGTGTATTGGAAAGGTTGGAAGGGGAGCTGATTACAGAGTATGAGAGACTCTGGAGGCAGAAAAGTGCTCATTATTCTAGTCAAGAAACGACAAGAGCCCATGACTGGAAGTTATAACCAAATTAATTCAGGTTAGAAATAAGGCACAGATATTTTTTTGGTATGAATGATCAACCATTGCAACAAGCTACCAAGGAAAGGTTTAGATTTACCAGATATGCCTTAGTTAGTCAAACATTTTGGACTTAATACAAGGATAACGGGAAAAAAAAATATTGTTGGCTTGTGATTTGGACCTTAAAATCTATGAATCAATGAAAATTGGCTTGGTTCCTTATGGAATGTTTTACCTCCAAGTGAATCAGCAGCTATAGGCCAGTCCTGAGGCGAGAGAGCAGATATTTAAATTTTCTGTACTCTAGTCTGAGACCACTGAAGTCAGTAGGAGTCGCTAGTTTGTGCTGGTCTTTCAAATCGATATATTCCTTTGCACCAGATGTCTGTAAAAAACAATTGAGAGACTGAAAATTTTATGTTCCTTCGCCTGGGTAATGCTAACGTGCCTTGCTATTACATCCTGGAGTACATTTTCAGTTTAGGGAATTAGACACGACTGCCATTCATAATGGAGAGGAGTGGTGGCCAAACTCCCCTGCACCTTTCTGGAAATTTATGCCTCCTGATTTAAAGCCACTGTATCTTGGATCGTGGTAACATAAAGCACCAGTGCAATTACCTTTGTGATGAAGCCGTCCCTGTGTAACTATCCAAATGCCTGCCTTGACAGACACAGATATTATTAAGAGGGACTTGCCAAGCTGTTGCTTTGTCATAAATGACAGCGTTAATTGCAGTTCCTTGTACAGGGCTTTCTTCTTTCTTCTTGTAAATTGTATTTGTAATCATCACTATGTTGATGGTAAGAAGGTGTTACTCTCCACCCTGCCTCTCCCTTTTCAGGTACCCTAAGCTGGCTGCTAAGCACCGGGAATCAAACACTGCTGGAATTGATATATTTTCCAAATTTTCTGCATACATCAAAAATACCAAGCAGCAGGATAATGCTGGTGAGTAGGATCATTACAAATATGCCAGGGAGTTTGTGTGCTTAGAAGTGGTATAATTTTGCCGTTCTCCCATCATTTTATTGTAAACTCTGTTCATATGACATCAGATAGTGCTGCTGATCAGCTTGAGATGGTTGGTTCAGTGGACTCAATCCGCGTGTCCACAGTTGAATTAACTACATCTGTACTAGTAAATAAAACAGGCCACAGAGTGTTTAGTAGCCCTTTTACCAACTGCCATGACATGGCTCCTGTCCCTACAGCCCAGCTTCCTCACCAGAACAGAATCCCATACTGCTTACTGGAAGTGGCTGGTGGCCTGTGCTACCTCTTCTACTCTGTCCAGGCGCTGCTTAAAGGAATGTGTGTTGACTGGACCCAAAACTGTGTTAGTACTAAAAATTTAGCAGTGAATGATTGGGTGAGAGTAACCCATGCCCTGACCCTTCATAACTTGTTGGATGTGGCCATCAGACTCTTGGCTCACTTATCTCATGATTATGTTACGCTGTTATAGCTAACTTGCTCATATAAACTGAGTTATATCGAGACATTAAACATAAAGTAATTAAATGAAAGGAGTCGCTTTAACAAATGTAATTGCACTCTGTAAGCTCCAGACTTTCCCTCACATGTTTATGTGTCAAAAGAAATCCCCCCCCCAGAAGCTGAATGCCATGCATATTTACACACATCCTACGCTCTCTTGGTAGTGAAATTGCTTTTCTCCTCCACATTCCGTTCCCCTCAGAGAGGCAAGACTTCAGCTAGTCTAAGCTTCTGTTACTCCATGAAAGCTAATGGATTTACACTGCCATATCCCTTGAGATGATCTAGTAGAATATTTGCAGTCACTTACTGATGTACATCTTACCTTATATTACTAGTTTCACAGATGGGGACCTAAGGCATATTAAACACCATGCACTCATCATATCATTTAGAGAAGACTAGGCATTTTCAGGTTCCAGCTCTGCCTCAAATTTCATCTGTGCGATTACATTTCATTGCCTAGGGCTGACCCATGAGATAAAAATGGGTAAATGATGATTTATGTCAGATAACAATCTGCTCCTTAATATTTTTGTGTTGTTAACAGAAGGAAGTAATTATAGTGCTGCACTTCTCAGGGATGCTAAAAAGTTACTTTTTTGTCTAATGCTAATGGGATGCTCAGCTACTCTCTGTAGGAAGTTGTGAAAGGAAGGTAAATTAAGAGCTAGACTAAATAGATGTTACAGTGAAAATAAAATATCTTGGCCATTTACAAGGAATTTTTATGGTCTGCTCTGCAACTGTAAATCTTAAATTCAGCCATGCTGCCCCTTGCATTCTAAAATAGCCACAGGTATCTGTCCACATGCATAATCCCAATGCATTGCTTCTCAGTGACTCTGCAGTGTGCAAGTCCCTGGACTCGTAAGGGCTGGCAGCTCCAGACTAGCTGTCCTAGAGGTGTCTGCATCTGGCTATAACCAGAGCTGGGATTCCTGGTCGAAGATCCACTACTAAGAGATAAAGAATCTAACCCCGCAAAGTGCTCATGACCAGGTCTCCATATTTTTACTACCTGAAGTGCGATTAATGTGAGCTTTCCCTAGTTCTGCCTAACAAACCCTTGGTTTGGGTACTCCTGAAAAGAAAAGGAATATCCTCCCCAATGGCAGTTAAGCACACCAGGGTGCAGAGAGATGTAAAGCTGCAGGACAGCGACAAGCTTTGTTCCCTGCAAACATCCTCACGCCATTTTGTTAGCTGGTTCATGCTCCTGTGAGATCCAGACACGTTACAAGCTCTGATACTCATACTGATACAGCATACTGATACTCAACTTTCCTCTTTGAAGTAGAGGAAAGCTTTTAGCTTAATTTTTTACAGCTGGAAGTGCAACAGTGCAAGGAGAATAAAGCAGAGACGAGCAGAGTATAAGTAGTACCTACCTGTTCTTTCTATCAATGGAGTAAAGAACCTGAGGTCCTCAAAGTCCTCGGGACTGTCAGTGCAGGCTTATGCCATGTGGGAAGGAGACCTCTATTTCAGCAGAGTAATTGACTTTCAGTTTTCAAGGGCTAAACAAGAATAGCTTTTCCCTTATCCCAGGGACATTTTACCCACTTTCCTATCCAGCCTATCTGAACCTGCAGCAGCTGTTCTGAAGGCTGATTTGGATGGCAGATGATGAGTTCATTAAAAAGTAGTTGGGTTAGATTTCTTGAGTAGTGAAACGACTATGTGGAAAAAGGAAAGGATAGAATCACTGTATGCATATTTCCTAATGAACCTATTTCTTTTTGATTGGTATTTTTAAAAATCATAATAGTAATCACAAAGAGATCTGGAGCTCTAGTCCTGATCTGATACATGTCATTTTGCAGCAGGTTCTGATGCATTAGCTTTCCTATATAACAGCAGAAGTAGTTGTATATAGTTCTGCAATAATAAAAAGTATTTTATAAACACAAAATATAATTCCTTAGGAGGATGTCCCTTTCCCTGTCTCCATGTGAGCAGGCAAGATCCAAAAAGAACATATTGCTGCTGGTGGTTGTCTTATGCAGTTCCTATATACCCCAGCTCTTAGATAAAGGTAATGATACGTGTGTCAGTCATCCTCTCTATTGTCTCCTAGCTGTGGCTGACTCAAGCGCTTGGGTTAAGCTGGAAAGCCATACCAGTGTCCAGGACATCAGTTGCACATGATCAAAATACACAAATAGAAGAAGACTTGTTCATAAATCAAAAATAGAATGGAGAATCCAGACCAGTATATAAAAAATAATTTTTATTTATTTTGGTTGGGAATAGGGGAGTGCTGAATACCAAGTAAACTAAAGCACCAAACATCAGGTTGTTTAAATTGTGTTCTTTTAACTTGGGAGTCAGGGAAGTGAATTCGTTAATGCATGGGATATCAGGCTGCGAGGAATTTGTAGCATCAGCCTATCTTTATCTGCAAGAAGTGTGGGTTAGGTGTAATTATAAGTGATCATTCTTTGTAGCATACTGGTTTAGCAGAGATCATGCGGTCTATGTAACATGAGCTCTTACTACAGCCTGTGGCTATTAAATCTTTGCGGAAAAGTGGCGTGAAGTGTTTGGGATAATTAATGAGATTTATGCAGTATGAGGATACTGGATGTGAGAATTAATGAGAACCTAATGCATGCCAAAGATAAGCCCAAGCTGGTGTTCCTCCCAGGAGAGTTTACAGCCAGGGTCATGCAACAATTTCAGACTTCAAGCGATGCCATCACTTGGCTATGTCGTTGCAATATTTCCTATCCTGAGAGAGGTGGTGCGAAGGCACCGATAACAGAGTCTGTAGCCTTTAAGTAGCTAAATTATTTTTTTTTTTCCTCATAGTGGAAAAGTTACTGAAGAAAACAAGATTTGTAAGTTCTTGGTTTAGTGTGTGTCTGCGTCCTTGCATGTAAATGGACAGACACAATGATACATATGTCTGTTTGTTTCTAAGATTGTGATACCCTCTGCTGGCAAATATGTGAATATATAAAGCAAGCAGCTTTACACTCAGGGCTAAACATCCCCTTGACAAAATAAGTTTCCTTTTATTATGACAGTTTCCTCTTACAAATGCAGCATTGTCAAAAGAGAAGTGTTTCATAGCAACCTATCGATTTTGACAAAGTTTTCATGGAAAAAATAATGTTTTTTCTGGATGAGTTAAAATTACTTCGAATTAAAATGCTTTAACATTACAGAGAAAAATAATACTTTTTTTTCTAGATTCATGCGGTACTTCATTAGCCACACGCCGTTATGTTTTATGCCTGGCACAGAAGCAGGTGATAACCTTCTTCTGTAAGTCTGTGTGGCAATATGTTATTGATCACGATTCATTTACTTACCAAAGGTATTTGGCAGCTAGGCTGCCCTGATTTAATAGTTCCCTGAATTTCTGATTCTTTTTTTCCATCTTTGTTTTCCTAATTTTTCTGTCTTATAATATAAAAACGTTGAGAGGTTTGGAACAGGGTGGCGAGGGCTGTAAGCCCAGAAGCAAACATGCTCGTGCCATATCAAAGTCCCACCACTTTTAAGCTTCTTGAAAGGGAAGGAATTGATTCCAGATTCTCAGGATGTGGCAAGCTGTGTTTAAAGAAAGTGTGTGCATTTATTATTTCAAGTCAGTTCAATTACAATGGGCTTGATTCCTTCCACCCCCCGTGTCACTTCATAATTTTGTAACAGGCCTCTCTGAAGGAGCCATCTCCTCATCGCGCGATTAGATGCACGCCTTACTTTGGTAGCAGAACTGGGTTATTCAGCTCTCTGGCCCTTGCCACCAGGCTTCACTGCTCGTCCTTGAAATGACAAGTGCTCCTTCACACAAGAACAGGAGTCCTTTGGAGAGTTTAGCAGCAGAAGTCTTTAAAATTATTTCCTGGGTGCTCTTGCTCAAGTCTTCATGGCCAATTTGAGAGTTTTTGGCTACTTAGTGATTGTTTAATATTTAGAAGGAGATCTTGTCTGAGCGCAGGAAAGTAAACCACGATCTTGTGAGTTTACTTTGATTCTTTTGGTTGATGCTGAGCAAGTCACTCAAGCTCTGTACAGTAACCAGGGTAGCAACAATTTATGTATTCATTGGAGGAGGATTTAATTAATTGGAATGCTGTGTACGTATTCGATATCCTGCTTATTATTTTTTCTTGTGAGACTGTATACTGCAAACCAAGGGGACAACCTATAGTAACCACCTATTAACTGTCCCGCCTAAAATTTTAAGTTCTTTGGCTCATAGAATGAGCCCTTTGATTTCATTTATGAGTTTAAAAAGTTATTCTTGAATTGAGTTCTTAGAGGGCACCAGCTCCAGTGTGGGTGGGCGCATTCATTAGTGGTATGGAAGGATATTTCACTGTACGACTCTTTAGAAGGCGCTGAGCCGGGAGACCACCAACATGATTTCATGCAGAGGAATTTCCAGCCGTCTGACCAGAGGACTGCGCTTGTCTGGTTTGGATTTACATCAAGAG